ACAGAGACTCTCCAATTCCACTGATTAATCATTGCTTAACATCAACTCGCCATCTTGGTTTGGTCAATCACACCAGAGGGACCGAACTTCGCCCATTTTTTACATGAAACGAACTTAACCAATGTCTCAAAGTGGCAAATGTAATTTTTCTAACGTCATTGTTTATGTTTTTGTGACAAATTAATTTATCTGCTTTGATATCTGATATTCCTTGAAGGAAATGACTTGATAAATATCTTCGTTAACTGTTGGAGTGTTTTTAGATTAATTTTTTAATGTAGCAGATAAATTAAAAATGATAACAAACAGAGCAATTGGCAGCGTAGTCTCTTTTATCAAGTAATCAAATTAACAAACAGTGGAAAAATTTGCTAGTTGATCTAGACTAGAGATGATAAGGTCTCTTATGTCATTAACAAAACTCATCAACGTCTTCATGTCGCTTCCAGCAATGCACATCAACAATATCAATTTATCTAATACGGCAGAAATTGTGAAATTAAAGTTTTTAGACATCAATTAGCAGACATTTCGTCACCGTTACTTCTAGACGACGGTTGTCTGATGGTAATTGAGTAGAAATTAAATTTGATCTTAGGTCATGTAATCATTTTCTTTTTTTATCAAGAAGAGTTTTTTTTTTATGTTACATGGTTATATGGTTTGGATAATTATGCATGATGCTACCTCTCGGCTTGAATGATTGTTTTATCTTAAGGCGACATAGAGCATGGGAATATTTTCACAACCATGTTCAGAACATTTTTATTTTTAAGTAGTGGAATTGGAGTCGGATGAATGGAGATGTTTCATTCAAAACGGTTTAATAGCCTAGAAAAGTTATGTGTCTATTATGCATGATGAAAATCTGATAAGAAATTATGAGGAATAGACTCGAAAGAAGAAACCCCATTAAATTTCAACATTATTAGTCTCTGCTGAGTGCACGATGCCGTAAATGTTGGTATCTACGTCATATTGAATCATATTTTCTCTAGATCATCAAGTTTCTGACTATAATGTCATATACAGACAATTACCAGTACATTATTAATTCTCCGTACTTCAAAAATTGGAGGATTGTTCTGAAGCTGCTCTTTATTCAATAGAAAGGTCATGCTGAGATTCGAGAAAAGTCATTTGATAAAAGTTGAGCGCCATCTGGCCAAGAACGATAACTCCTGTGTCATTAATTACAGATAATTGATGAGTACTGACCATTAGTGGTGGACAGATCCAATTTCATGTTTTACACTAATTATTAAGATGTCGGTAGAGAATATATTGTTTAATAATTATCAGTAACGCACGTGTAAAGTTCTCTATCACCTTTAATTACCAATAATAATATATATATAGAATATTTATCAATATCAAAAAGCACGTGCATTCTTCTCCAGCACGAGTCAGATTATTTTGTATTAATAATTACTTGTAAACTGTTATCAAATTATAGAATGCACGTGTTCGATATTATTAGCGAATCTAACAACTAAACGCTTACTCGTGCTTACTCGCTAATGTGGTCCAGATAGGCCATATTAGTTATCGTTAAACCCTCCAATGTGCAGATAACCATGAAGCCTAAAATGAAAGTATACTTCGAGAATACTTCAACAGAGGAAGATCAAAGGGGAGCTTTGGGCCAGGAAATTCTGTCTTAATCTGCCAATGGTAAGCCATCAAAAGTGTACTTTTATTTCGATAATTTATTCATTTATTCAATACAATAGTCTATGATAATTAACTGTGCAATATCAGCTATATCAACCTGAAAAACATAATTTTATAGGATTAAAATCAATATATTTTATGTCATGCATTTTCTTGTCTTTTAAGGGTGGGATAAAGGGAAGCAGAAATGCTGTAACAAATAATGCTACCGGTGCTTAAGGAACATGATTATTCCGTTGTATTAGCAGGATAATGCTGCGTAAGCATCATCCACATATCCGTTAAAGACAAGAGTAAGACAGCTATAGTAATAATATGTAACCTGTTCTATTGTTCTTGGTTATTGCCACCAACCATACCATGCAATGTCCCTTTATCATGTTATATTTCATTTCTATAAAGAGAAGAATGTCAACTTACCATTTTATTTCTTGTATCCGGTCATCATACCGAGTCCACCCATCATACCAAGACCGCCCATCATACCGTAACCGCCCATCATACCTAAACCTCCCATACCCATCATGTAGGGGTTCATCATTCCCATCATACCTAAACCTCCCATACCCATCATGTAGGGATTCATCATACCTAAACCGCCCATACCCATCATGTAGGGGTTCATCATTCCTAAACCACCCATCATCAAGGGGTTACCACCCAAGGTCATGGAGGCGAAAGCCAAACAGAGAACGACGGCAAATAGTTTGTTCATTTTTAGAATCTGGAATTAAAAAAAAAAACTGAAAACTTAAAAACAATTGTGAATCTAAAAAGGTCTTTCATTAAATGCCTTGCATTTTCGATGTAAAATATTCAAATCTTGAAGAAAAAAAAAATTACTTACGAGGTATAGCTGAAGAAGCTGTAGTGTTGGTAGTTAGAAGGTTGTAAGAATTGTGATACTCTACCTTCATTAACACACCATATTTATACTCTTTAAACTCTGTTACGACATCACAATTTGATAATATTCAATTCAAATTGATAATTATTAAATAATCTTCCTCATTATCGTATAATATTACATCAGTTATTAATCATAATAACTTCAAAGTATTACCGAGTTACAGGTAATCTTTAAAACTTCCTGAAAAAAATATTTTACCCAATAGATTAACTTATGTTTATTATAACCCCAAAAATACCAGATGGAATAACGAGGAGGTTTCTTTGAATGTCAATCCGTTTTAGATGCTAATCTGGATGTGCCATCCATGATCTAACGAAATTGTTATGCAGAACACTTAATATTCAATCAGTCCATTGCTTTATTTCAATATTTTCCTTTCTGGGGTATTCATTGTTAAATATTATCTTGTATTGTTAGTCCATATTTAACTGTGTGTTTTGCTTGGTTAGTATAAATTGTGACACAGTTTCTTGCTTTAAGGTCTGGATTCAACAGAACAAAGTTAAATGAAGAATCACCCCAGTTCATGGATGACTAGTATAGAAACCTGCAATAAAACCAAGAAAAGAAACAGCTGCATGTTAATCAGATTGTCACAATTTTTGACATATTCTCATAAACGGAGATTATCTGATAGGTATTGTCAAAGAGGACAAATCAGGACAGTCAGTGCTTCATCGCGCTTTCGATACACTTCTAAATTTGACTTCGAATTAAAACTATGACAAGATCGTGATAGAAATAGATAGAACTCCTAACAATTTGTAGCATAAATAATCAGATAGTCCACAAATTGCCTTTGGGCTCTAAACGCTGTCAATATGAACAAATATGGACCTGAAATAGTGAGATGTTTCTTGTCTGTTTAGACCTATTGGTTCTAGGTTCAACCGAATGCGTAGGTTCATTGTCGAGGCTCTAAAATGTTTTATTCGGTTGCTTTTTGTATTTAGGATACAAATGTGATCAGATGGATCGATTGTGCAAACATGCATTTTTTGTACAAAAATCAAGATATCAGTGACATATTAGAATGCTTGAGATGGATCACTCGTGCATCACTGCTATGGTATCACATTTTAACATGCTATTTCGTTTTTTTTTTTCGTTTTTTTTAATCTGTACATGTATATCCTTTTATATAATGGCAGGACTATCGCAGAGAGTATGGAAAAGACGATCTACATTCGCCAAGATTTGACGACACCGAGCATTATTACTGTATGGAAGTAATCTGAACGAAGTAATCTTGATGAAGTTGATTTAGAAATCAAGCTCTTAAGGACTTCACAGTACTATCACATGTAAATATTGAACCTATAACAGAGAGATAAGATTTACATGTATTCACAGTTTTTTAACTTGAAATATGGACAGTCTGTAACTAAGTGGTGCGGTGCAGCAAGTGATTTACTAATTTGATCGACAAATATAAATAAAAAACCCATCCATATTGTTTTTGTTTTGTGCTTAGAAGATTAAAACATTGTTTATTCCAGCAGAATACAACTTTACCAACTCGATTCACTTTTCCGTTATAGAACATGTGTCAAGTTTGTCTGCAATCCAGTAGAAATACTTTGCGAACTGATTTTTATCATCAATTCAACTTTGTGTGAGGTAAATGAGCATGTGTCTGATGAGGTCAATTTAGTGCTTTTAGGATTGACCTTCCGACTGACAGAATCTGAAAGCAACCGGAAGTCCAAAGACTGATATTTAGAATATTTGTGTAACACTAGTGATATACCATCAATTGTAATTCAGTTCAGATAGGAAACGGTTCATTCAGACTTTACAGCCTCGTTTACATTACAAATATTAATTCTTCTCGGAACATTTCCGAGAAATTAGTAGCTTAAAGAACAGTTTAATTGAGTTAATGCTATCCGTACCAAGAACAATTTTGTCCGCATGCGTCTTGACACCTTGTCCTGTCCTTGTATTTTAATGATACAGGATGGCTGCCAGAGAAGATGTTTTAGTTTCCATCCGGGTTTCTAGGACGTCTCGTGTATAGTTCCATCAAAATGCGTCTGAGAAGAGCAGATCGTTTACACTGTTGTTATGGAATTTATAAAGTCTGTGGTTGTAGTGGTGAATGTGACATTTTGGGGATTTTATCGCGTCTGGTGTAGATCGAAAACAGAACACTTCGACCAATTCGTCCGCTGAAATGTTCGTAGAGTCAATTCACTGAAACGTGTATACTGCTACTTTGTGTATCTGAACTTGTGAAGCCCAACGGTTTTGGATGTAATAAATTGTAAAGTCATTGGCTCTATACATATAAAGAACTAATGGTGGAATGCCATTTGTGCCTACTTATAGGTGTCACCCGGTTCAACCTCGTCGTTGAAGCATGTAGGGAAACGCGTCTTGTTGTTCAGGATAGAATAACTAATAGACTATTGTTTTTATTTGATAATTTATTCATATATAGCAACAAAATAAGTCCATACAACAGGTTACATTAAATAACTGCACAATGGAAAGTATACACCTGAAAAAATACAAATACAGATCATGAAAAATGATTCAAGTGAAAATTCACATTTTAATCGTTCACAAACACCAAGTATCTTTAAGAACACCTCATCAACTATGTTTAAGCAGAAGATGTCTACCCCCATCAGGAGGCTTGAAAACATGTTTTAGTATCTGTGATGTTTGTTCATCAAATAGGGTTCATCAAACCTGTAGGGGTTCATCAGAGCGAAATATGGCGTAGCGTTATTTGTTTTACGAAAAGTTACCAGCTTACCTTATTTCTTGTATCCGGTCATCATACCAAGACCACCCATCATACCAAGACCGCCCATCATACCATAACCGCCCATCATACCTAAACCTCCCATACCCATCATGTAGGGGTTCATCATTCCCATCATACCTAAACCTCCCATACCCATCATGTAGGGGTTCATCATGCCCATCATACCTAAACCTCCCATACCCATCATATAGGGGTTCATCATTCCTAAACCACCCATCATCAAGGGATTACCAGCCAAGGTCATGGAGGCGAAGGCCAAACAAAGAACGACGGCAAAAAGTTTGTTCATTTTAATTTCTGGAAAAGAGAAACACTTGTTATTAGACACATCAACAAACAACCAGAAAAAAAGGAAAATGAAGGAAGGAAAACAGTAACTGGTTAAATAAAGAAACTTAAGATGTTTTGGATGAAACTCCGTGCCTTAAATTAAAGGGGATATTTAACTTACCAGATATAGCTGATGAAGCTGTGGTGTTGGTAGTTAGAAGGTTGTAAGAATTGTAATACTCTACCTTCATTTACACACCATATTTATACTCTTTTTACTCTGTTACAGCATCAAATACAAATTGATAATAATTAATTAATCTTCCTCATTAACATATGATATTTAATACGAGTATATTATCACTTATTAGTTATCAGATTAAAGATATTGCGAACATTGATAAACAAATTAGTTCGAATCAAATATTACCCTTTAGTGACGAAGAAAATTAAAACTTCCTAAACAAAGCATACATCTACCAAGTAATTGAAAAAAATTATCTTACGGATATATTTATGCAATATATATCATTCCTTAACCCCGATTTCTAAACATTACATATCACCCTTCACCCTTCAAAATACTTAAACAATAATCGGGGATCTATTTGTTCGCTTTCATTGAAAAAGATGATGTAAAAGCCAATACAGCATAATATATTGTTAAAGTCGTAATTTCGAATTTTGATATAACATTTTATTAAAGATGTCTGTAATAACAGTTTGTTACAGATGTCTGTTTGTACTACTGTACTGATAAAGAAGTCTGTTTGTATTAATATATTGCTAAAGATACATTTTTGATCTAATATATTATTATTAAATATGTCGGTGTACCATACCGTAGTGTTAAAGTTGTCGGTGTCCCATACCGTATTGTTAAAGATGTCTGTTTGTAATGACCTATTGTTAAAGATGTCTGTTTGTAATGACCTATTGTTAAAGATGTCTGTTTGAAATAACGTTTTGTTAAAGATGTCTGTTTGTAATGACCTATTGTTAAAGATGTCTGTTTGTAATGACCTATTGTTAAAGATGTCTGTTTGTAATGACCTATTGTTAAAGATGTCTGTTTGTAATGACCTATTGTTAAAGATGTCTGTTTGTAATGACCTATTGTTAAAGATGTCTGTAATGACCTATTGTTAAAGATGTCTGTTTGTAATCACCTATTGTTAAAGATGTCTGTTTGTAATGACCTATTGTTAAAGATGTCTGTTTGTAATGACCTATTGTTAAAGATGTATGTTTGTAATGACCTATTTTTAAAGATGTCTGTAATGACCTATTGTTAAAGATGTCTGTTTGTAATGACCTATTGTTAAAGATGTCTGTTTGTAATGACCTATTGTTAAAGATGTCTGTTTGTAATGACCTATTGTTAAAGATGTCTGTTTGTAATGACCTATTGTTAAAGATGTCTGTTTGTAATGATATATCGTTTAAGATGTCTGTTTGTAATGACCTATTGTTAAAGATGTCTGTTTGTTATGACCTATTGTTAAAGATGTCTGTTTGTAATGACCTATTGTTAAAGATGTCTGTTTGTAATGACCTATTGTTAAAGATGTCTGTTTATATAACCATACTATAAAAGATGTTTGTAATATTGTATGGTTAAATAAATCTGTTTGAAATAATTGAAATGTATTGTTCTTATTTCTAATATATGCGTCATAGACAAGGGACACGGATTTTATCGAGCTTATTCAGGAACAAATTAATTAATGCTGTAATGTTTCATTTCAATGTGCAGAGTTACGTATGTTGAATTTTTATATTAAAATGGTGATGTAACAGAGTTTAAAGAGTATAAATATGGTGTGTTAATGAAGGTAGAGTATCACAATTCTTACAACCTTCTTACTACCAACACCACAGCTTCATCAGCTATACCTGGTAAGTACAGAAAAACTTAGTAATGAAACACTCATTGGTGTCAGAAATTAGAAAAACCTATTCTAATTTAGGGCACGGAGTTTCATCCAAAAAATCTTAAATTTTACCAGTTATTGTTTACTATCTTCATTTTCCTTTTTCTGGTTGTTTGTTGATGTTTTTAATAACAAATATTTCTCTTTTTTTCCAGAAATCAAAATGAACAAGATCTTTGCTGTCGTTCTCTGTTTGGCCTTCGCCTCCATGACCTTGGCTGGTAACCCCTTGATGATGGGTGGTATAGGAATGATGAACCCTTACATGATGGGTATGGGAGGTTTAGGTATGATGGGAATGATGAACCCCTATATGATGGGTATGGGAGGTTTAGGTATGATGGGAATGATGAACCCCTACATGATGGGTATGGGAGGTTTAGGTATGATGGGCGGTTACGGTATGATGGGCGGTCTTGGAATGATGGGTGGACTTGGTATGATGACCGGATACAAGAAATAAGGTAAGCATGTTTATTTTCTTGTTCACTTATACATCGTCATTAAAAGGAATAAAAGTTCTTATGATCATAAAGATGATAAAATTTAAGTAGAAGCCAATATGTCTTTTGATATTTGGCCCATGATGTGGAAATATTTCCTGACTGAAAACTGTATGCCTACTTCATAATTTTCATTCGTATATTTCCAGGTTGATACAGCTGATATTATACAGTTATTTAATGTAAATAATTGTATGATGTAAATTATGGTATGATGTAAATTATGGTATGATGTAAATTATGGTATGATGTAAATTATTGTATGATGTACATTAGTGTATGATGTAAATCATTGTATGATGATGTAAATTATTGTATGATGTAAATCATTGTATGATGTAAATTAGTGTATGATAGACTTATGAATTTGAAATAAATAAATCATCCCAAAATATACTAGTATTACTTATTTTTTACTTAATATGGAAATATTACATGCCAAATAATGCTGTAAAAACTGTAACATCCAAACGAAACCGATAGCCAACCTCGCAAATTTCATAAGCTATGCTAGAATTTGTTTTTATGTATTCCTTTAAATTTCTTTCATGAAGTCCATCTAATTAGAACACTCCCTGCTAAATTTAAAAGATGGCAATGGTAACCTGAATCGGGATCTTCCGTCGAAGTTTAACGTAAGAAATGGCGATATTGCAGTCTTGCAACTACCAGACAGCTGTGCATTCGATACGACTTCATACAATCTATTTCAGGAATACTTCACTCATGAATAATTTATTTGAAAAACCTTCTACAAATAAGCGAAGTATTTTCGACAGAATAAAATGTTTTTCAAAAGAAAAAAAAACATTTAAAATTCTCACTATCGTTTAACTAACATTTAGGTACTCATCGCCTCTTCAAAACATCCGTAATTATAACATGTTTCTACCTTGTTTCACTCTTGAAGGTAAACCGAGTTAGGTAATCAATAATTATTCATGATTTTAAAAAGGCCAATCAACACTATTTTAATACGGTTTGTTTTGTAATCACAGCCCGATATTATGACGTCTTAATCCTTAACGCTTCTTTTCTACTCCTTCATTTCTTGGTCATTTCAGACAAAATAAACTACTCTACTGAATATGTAACAGAGAAATCATAATACAATATTTCCATGTTATTCCATGATGAATAATGATTCTACCAGCATTTCTTTCAAATAAAGTCCAAGGGGCAGCTGTCATATTTTGCTTTTATTCTAGTCATATAATATACATATGCATATTGTGTTCAGTGAATCATTTGGAAAAGAATGAGAATTCACGTTGCAAAGTTATTTGTACAAAGAACAAAATCAGTGCTATTTTTAAAGTGGAACGATACACAAACTGCAGCGATATCTCGCGTCACAGTTGGTCTTATCTGAAATCTTATCGTATTTCGCAATGACAAAACTATCGCAAAGGGTTCAGATAAGATGGTTCACAATCGACACGATTTGGAAGACACGCGGAATCATTACTGTTCTTGAATAGCAAGGGTAGCAAGCAATCTCAATTTTTAGGCGTGCTTAGCAGTGTAAAGGAGGTACAACCGTCTACTTGCTTATGTCAGCAGATGGATCACTATTTAACCTACTAGATTTACTGTTCTCCATTACATCTTTGATTGTGCTCGCTAGGGTTGCGACATAGCAACTGGATTGCCAGCGAATGCTAGAAATTGGCTGCATCAGGGAGAACCTGACCAATCGCTGGATTAAGTCAACTCTTATTCTTCTATTTTTTTAGGTCTAGGTCTACACTTCAAAATTATTTTCTTTTGCTTAGTTTACTACCTACCGGTGCCTTTTATTGAATAGTAACTTGTTACTTACAACCGACCCAATCTTTACTATTTATCAAAATATTGAATCTGATAGTCGAGGGTCGGTAAATTTATCGGCATTGCCCGTATGGACTGCAGCGGATCTGGTGAGATTCTTGAAACCGCCAGAGCCTTCCTTTAGAACCTTTGTGATATAAAATGGAAGCGTACTTCAGTTCAGATAGTAACTTCTTACTTCCGCTAATTTAAATATCCGTAAAGTAATAAATACAATACAATATTTATAGAGCGCGTTATATAAAAACAATTACTCTAAGCGCTTAGTCAAACTTTTAAACATGTTTACTGATATTCTGTACCAGAAGTTCTAAAACCTGGTTTGGATTTATTGAAATGAATTGAATAGTCAGTGGCTAATGATATATTAAGTAATGGTATGCCATTTGTCCTACCCATAGGTGTCACTCGGTTCCAACTTGTTATTGATACGGGTAGAGTGCTAATGGGACAAGTATTTAGTTTGGGTATGCGTGTTACAACAGATGCAGTGAACGTAGAAATCCTCCGACAGTTGGGAATTAAAAAACAGAAGACAAATGTCAATGCTGTGACAAAAAAAATCCCAGTGCACATTGCATGTTCCGGATGCAGCAAAGGGGCATTATCGGATCATTTGACAATATAAAAAATAACTATATATTTATTTATTTATTTAAAACAATTATTTACTCGTACATATTGTATAGAATAAGTTCAATCAATCGATACAGCAAACAAAAGTAAATCTTTCCAATAACCAGTAACCATCTGAAATACACATTACAAATTATTAAAAAGGATTCAAATAAAAATGCATTTGGTTCGTGCACAAACACCATGGATCTGTATGAACATCACATCACCATGTTCAAGCAATAGATGCAGTGGAATAGCTAAGTCTGTAGAGAATAGGTACCGTGGGTTCGCATTCTCCTCTAGGTAAGAAAAATTCTTGTGCCTGTGCCAGTCGGCCCGGTGTCGGCTCTTTTCCTGTAATACCCAACATCAGAAATTAATTTTCTGCAGTTAGTAGTAATTTGTATTACGAAAAGTTATCAGCTTACCTTATTTCTTGTATCCGGTCATCATACCAAGTCCACCCATCATACCAAGACCGCCCATCATACCGTAACCGCCCATCATACCTAAACCTCCCATACCCATCATGTAGGGGTTCATCATTCCCATCATACCTAAACCTCCCATACCCATCATGTAGGGGTTCATCATACTCATCATACCTAAACCGCCCATACCCATCATGTAGGGGTTCATCATTCCTAAACCACCCATCATCAAGGGGTTACCAGCCAAGGTCATGGAGGCGAAGGCCAAACAGAGAACGACGGCAAATAGTTTGTTCATATTGATTTCTGAAAAAAAGGAGAAAACCTTGTTATTACAAACAAACATAAACAACCACCAAATCAAAATTAAGAAAACGGGAAATGATAAGGTACAGAAAAGTAAAATGTTTCTAATTCCTAACACCGATGAGTTTTTCATTACAAAGTTTTTCTGTACTTACCAGGTATAGCTGATGAAGCTGTGGTGTTGGTAGTTAGAAGGTTGTAAGAATTGTGATACTCTACCTTCATTTACACACCATATTTATACTCTTTAAACACTGTTACAGCATCAAATACAAATTGATAATAATTAATTAATCTTCCTCATTAACATATAATATTATATATCACTATTTATTAGAATCAGATCAAAGGTTGCCATTTAATAATTCACAACTTTAGTTCAATTTAAATGTAACCCCTTTGGTGATGATGACTATTAAAACTTCCTAAATAAAGAACAATTGGTACTCTAATCTACTAATCTGAATGTTCACTGTACACCTCAAAAGGCTTTTCGTAGATTGTTGAAAAAAAAACTGTCCTTACAAAATAATCTCGTACTGCACGAGACCAAACCGAAGCAAAAAATTAATGTGTAAAACTCATTAACAACATAATATATTGTAAAAGTTGTCTGTATGAAATAACATATTATCAAAGATGTCTGTATGTAATGATATATTGTTAAAGATATCTGTATGTGATAATATATGTTTTAAGATTTATCTTTGTACTAACATATTATTAAAGATGTCTATTGTAATAATATAATGTGTAAAATGTATGTTTGTAATACGTATTGTTAAAGAGACAATAATAAATTATTGTTTTATGTATTATTTCTGATATAGGTATATAACATAGACAAGGGACATGGGCAATTACCATACCAGCATTTTACCAAGCTTAATCGGGAAGAAATTAAATGATTAATTAGTGATGTAATGTTTTATTTTAATGAGTAGAGATATGTAGGTTAAATTTTGAATATTAAAATGATGTCGTAACAGAGTTTAAAGAGTATAAATATGGTGTGTTAATGAAGGTAGAGTATCACAATTCTTACAACCTTCTAACTACCAACACCACAGCTTCATCAGCTATACCTGTAAGTAGATTCTCCTATGTCAAGACTCTAGATTCGTATAGAATTTACATGGGCTCAGATCTTATTCTTATGAAGTTTAAAACATTAAACATTATTTAGAAAAAAAAATTCAAAATTTTTTATTTTCAATGAATTTGCTTCCCAATTTTAAAGATATAATTTTTTTTTCCAGAAATCAAAATGAACAAGATATTTGCCGTCGTTCTCTGTTTGGCTTTCGCCTCCATGACCTTGGCTGGTAACCCCTTGATGATGGGTGGTTTAGGAATGATGAACCCCTACATGATGGGTATGGGAGGTTTAGGTATGATGGGCATGATGAACCCCTACATGATGGGTATGGGAGGTTTAGGTATGATGGGAATGATGAACCCCTACATGATGGGTATGGGAGGTTTAGGTATGATGGGCGGTTACGGTATGATGGGCGGTCTTGGTATGATGGGTGGACTTGGTATGATGACCGGATACAAGAAATAAGGTAAGCATGTTTATTTTCTTAATAACAATAACGCTACGCCATATTTAGCTTTGTTGAATCCCTACATAATGGGTTGTGATGATTTGTTTGAATAATTTCATTCTTGTTATAAATTAAAATCATCACGGATTGCAAAAGCGAGGGTTAATCACTGCATGTGTATTCGTCGCTGAAAAGTATAAACGTTCAGAAAATTATAAGATGTGAAATTCAAAAAGGAGACAATTGCCAAATTACCTATTAAAAATATTCCTATGCATATCCGGCCCATTATATGTACCTGACGACAGAGCGTGCATTCTGATTTTTCCCGACTAAAAAATTGTTTGTATGCCTTCATAATATGTGTATTTTTTTTTTATTTTAAGGTGGATGTAGGTGATATTATACAGTTATTTCATTTGTGCAATGAGTGAATGGGCATATTTTATTGAAATAAATAAATTATCTGAATGAAAAAATACTAGTGATTTTTATTGTAAATTTTTAATGGAAGGTCAAATAATGCTGTACAAATGTACCATCCAAACAAAACCTATAGCCAACCTCGCAAATTTCATTTGGATTAATTTTGATGATTATTCACTCACTCATTTATGAGTCCATCTGATTAGAACACCCCCTACACAATTTAAATCGGAATCTTTCGTTGAAGAATAACGAAAGAAATAGCGCAGTATTCTTGCATCTACCTGTACATACGATACGAAATGATACAATCTATTTAATGAATATTGCACCCCTGACCAATTTAGTTTGGATTCGGCTGCATTTTTTTACCACTCAACAGCTAGCAGTTGTCCAATATTCAATTAGCTTGGCAAAGTCATAGAAAGGCACGAAATCCTCCGTAGAGAATGATTGATTTCAGGACGCCCTGCTCTGTCTAAATGTGAACAACTGACCGCGCTGCTCTGCTTGTAGTGTGAAGGAACTCACACCTTTAACAAATAAGCGAAGCGTTAGAATGTGTTTCAAAATAAGTGATTTTCAAACTGTATTTTGTTTTGGAACTGGTGACTATTATATGAGTTCGGACGAAAAGTGTCGTTTTGATAGGTTAAAATTCACATACAAAGCAATTTGGATACAGTGAGCCAGTGTCTCACCTATTTATTAAATGATGTGATTAAACGATCACGATATACACTAAATTGGTGCAACGGAATCGACAAATCGCAATCTATATGTAAAAGATTTCAGTATCTATGTTTGTGCTTAGATTTGGAATATTTGCAGCTGTGGAGTGTAATGTAGAAGCCCTTGCTTGGCTCCGATCTCGGTTAACTTACGGACTGTGTATATTGGCTCACTGCATTCAAGTCGGTCATATTCACACAGATCGCGAGCCTCCTGTACGTTAGTGATTTAAGATTCCAATATGTAAGTCTCTCAACAATAGATATAATGGGGTTATATTGGACCATACAGTAAGACACGCATCCATTTTTATCTAGTTTGTGCAGAGTTGCGAAAATATCACAGGCATCTACTTCCTTTTCAGATCTTACAGTTGGATCACACATCCCACAATTCAGTTTTATTGTGTTTAATCACCTCAAGGGTGAAATACCAACATAAAGTATTAATAATAATGTCAACTGAGTTGCTCTGAGCTGAATAGCATATGTATCCTAACAAGACATCACAGATTGTTGCGCTTCTATTGGTAGTGACATCATCTCCGACATTTCGAGTTGTACATGAACTCTGTTGATCTCTGGTGGACAAGTTGAATTCGTGTTACTACTTTAAGTTGTCTTTCTGGGTACAATGGGTCCAGATCTATTTTCAACACAGGACGAACATTATGACATATCATCTTGATATAAGTTTACTTCAGCCCCGCTACGCCTGAATAGATCTTCAAAGTAAACCGTCACACCTCATTGCTCGTTCTTACTCTTATTGTTAAATAGTGTTAAATAAACAGCTGTGACAAATACTCAATAAAGTTTATCTATGGGTTATGTGAATCTGTATACACAGTAGCGAATTTAGGCGCGCCTTATTTTGAAATAAAAATTATGCCATCGAAATGCTCAAAATGCATCTGAAATCCTTTCGCTTCTGGGGGACTGTGGCGTACATTTTCTAGATACGCCTCTATATATACAATGGATACAATGTTTTGAGATTTCAGTAGCTCCATTTCCGATGTCTACTTTCATTTTACATTCCATTTTCAGGAAAGTACTCCACTTAAAGACATGTTACAAAGAAAGTGGTTTTGTATGGTCAGAAGGGCAAAGTGGAAGAGGGTTTATAGTGATTTCCCAGTTTCATTTGATCATCAAACCAAACGAAAAATAGTTAATGCTTTTGTTTAAATTAGATAATTTATTTATTCCAATGAAATATTTCCATTAACACAAATGAAATAACTGTATATTATCACCTACATCCACTTTAGTAGTCTATAGTAATAATAACAGTATAATACCAGCTGTATCAACCTGGAAACATAAAAATACAAAATCATAAAAAAGGTAAAAAAATTGCTTAAAAGCTAGAGATTGTGTGTTGAATTGCCCTTTTCTAAAGTTGATTAGCTAAAAAAAAGTTACGAATTCTGCTAACAGGCTCTGATCCTGAAATT